TATTTTCCCCTACTCTGGCTTTGCTGCCATCAGATCCCATGTGCTTGTATGTTTAGAAACTTCAAAAGATGCCTTGTCTGCTGTCATCACTTTTTCTTGATTTCAGCACTGTTATGGGTTTATTTTTAAAGTCACAATATCACTTGTATGTTATGTCAGTGGGGTGTAAGGAGAGGACAACATGCATTTGGAGCCCATTATGTAAAATTCGAGTCTGCTGATACCAGTAATGAATTTTGTGAAATACTTGGTCTCAGGTTTAAAAATCGAAATCTACATGGACCCTGAATAACCAAAGCAAATCTGATAGAGAAAAAGGAGGTATCCTACTGCCAGAGTGCAAACCATACAACAAATGACAGATGAGGGGTTTAAAAAGATAAAAAATGAGAGATATAGATATATAGCTATACACACACACAATAGAATATAGTCAGCTCTAAAAATGATGAACTGCTTTCTTTTTTTTTTTTTACATAGAAGAACTGGGGTATAGGCCAAAGGTTTGGGGAGTGCGAGGACTCAGCACAGACAGAGTGGGGAGCAGAACAGGTGGATTTATTGAAATCCACTGCTGAGGGGAGCAGCGGGAAGACAGGAGAGGTCTGCTGTGCCATGTGTGTAGCTCCCTGGCCAGGAGTCGATCTCAGGCCCTTGTGGTGATAGCACAGAGACTTAACCCCTAGGCCACCAGGGAGCTCCCTAAAAAAAGATGAATTCTTGCCATTTGTGACAACATAAATGGAATTGGGAACTGAGATTACTGGCAGGGGGTGGCAGGACTTGAGGGGAGTAAGGGAGAGGAGCTAGTGAGCTGTGATGGGGGACTCTGGGTGCCTTGGTGGTAGGTGTGGTGTGGTGATCTGTTACTGCAATAAGATATGTTATTAAAAATAAAAAATACAATAAAAGTTCATACTTGAAACTAAACTTTTGTACTTTATAGGGCATTTTTTTAAACCATTCTGATGTTTCTTTGATAATCACGAGTACTTTCCTGGATCTCATAGGTGTTTTTTTGTCCTTTTTCTGCATTGGATTATCTCACATAACACTGTGAAATTTAAATATTCACTAAGAGATTGCACACTTGGTTAATGTTGTGATAATGCAGGTCACAAACAATTTAAAAGTTTACCAAATATAATAATTTAAGGATTCATGTGTCATCATTACAGCTTACTTGATACTGTGTTTATGAAGTAGAGTATTTTGTCATTCTAGAGACCCTAATAACCTGACAAAGATAATAACTTTCTACATGTATTTTTATATCCCAACTTTTCTTTCAATGAAATTAAGTATGTGGTCTCACATAGGCAGTATTTTGGTGTCAAGAAAAAAAACCAACATTTCTCTTAGAATTTGACTTAAACTTTCTTTAAAACAGTAGATTACGCTTAGGAGCATTAATATTTTGGTGTTTTGTGGCATATATTACCCACAAATTACAATCCCTTACAATATTAAAAAAAGATTTTTTTTTTCCTTTCAGAGTGTAGATAATTCTTTTGTTGGAAAGAATCTCCAAGGTTAGGTTAGCAAGAACAATTTTTCAAAATAGTAAGAGGAAACTCATGTCATGTGGGGAAAATTTACTAATCAGCCTTAGCACATGTCCTTATTAACAGTAACCAGTTCCCAGGATTAGTTCTGTAGTCCTGTGCTCTCTGCCTGAACTATTGCCCCTCCTAGAAGGATTAGTTCTGCCCTGAATTGAGCAAGGTTGTCTGACACACTGTCAGAATTCAGAAGTGAGATTTCTTTTCTAAATGGACTTAGTGAAATTAATTTTTTTCCCATGTGGACTGTCTTTCCTCAGTTTGGTCAAGTCAAGTTGTAATTGAACATAGTTCCTGAGTGTTAAAAAGCACTTTTCTTCGATGTGATGAATGTTGATCTCGGTTCTTTTGAGAAAAATGCCAGTGAGCCTTGTCAGTGTAGATAGACCAAGGAGAAGCTTTCTGTTTCTATGAGGTGGTAACTCTGGAGTTCATGTTACTGTGAAAAATTAATAACACTGGGCCTCCCTGGTGGCGCAGTGGTTGAGCGCTGGGTTGCGAAGCTGCCAGCAGCCTCTGCAGCGCCGGTTCGATCCCCGGCTGCTCCCCGGCCACCTGCGAGGGTCCCACATGGCGCGCAGACCTCTCCTGCCGCCCGCTGCTCCTCTCAGCAGTGCACTTCGGTCCTTCTGCCTGCTCTGCTCCCCGCTCTGGCTCTGGTGAATTCTCTCACCCTCCCGCGCTTCTGACTGTATCCAGTGCTTGTATGTATGTATGTATGTATGTATGTATGTATGTATGTATGTATGAATAAACAAACAAACAAACAAACAAATAAATAAATCTTTAAAAAAAATAATAACACTGTAAGACTGAGTTGTTTGAGATGTCCTAATACTAGTGAGTGTCTGTGTTTGAAAGATGACTAGAGTGTTGATATGTGTGTGTGTGTGAGTGTGTGTATGAGAGAGTACAAGAGGGATACTAAGATACTTAATATTTTAAGAAGGTAAACTCCAGATTATCTCATTTCCAAGTAGATATAAATATAGATGTGATTTGTGTCTGTACAAATCTGATCTGTATCTGTGATACAGATATCGATAGATATGGGCAAGACCTGAATGAAGAACTTCCCTTGCCCAAGGTCACAGTTGCCAGCTGGTTATTGGCACAACTAAGCTGTGACTTACTCTCATCTTTCTATTACTCTATCATCAAACAGAAGATCTCAATTGATCACAGCTTTGCCTCTCAGGGGACATTTGCATTACGTGGAAGCATCTTTGGTTGCCACAACTTGGGTGTGCGATTGGCAACTAGTGGATAATATATCATAAGAAGACCAAGGATGCACCTTAATACCCTACCATGTGGCAGGCAGCTCCACAGGACAAAGGTCTCTTGGTTCTCAAGGTGAGCAGTGCTGAGTTTCAGAAACAGTTCCCAAAAGTGAACAAGGAACACCCCACTCTGATTAACCCACCGAAGCACGGTTTTACTTCTGCTATGAATTTCATCAAGATCCAATGACTAAAATTTAAATCCTAGTTACGTAAAGCATATCTGGTTACTTAAAAAAGAAAGTATTTCTCTCTGGGCAATTTTCTCATAAGTGGATATTCCCAAGGAAATTTTCTAAAATGTTCACTCTCTCAGAGGTGAATTCACAATAATCTCACATTCTCATAAGGATAAATTAATATGATGCTTATTATAAGCATAAGTAATACGCTGAATTGTTCTTGTCAGGACCTAAACTTATTGGCTGTCAGAACAAGGTCACAAGCATGAAGTTACGACTTCGAGGCAGCAAAGCAGACTTGATCACCAGCTGGGGCTTGATGCATTGGTCACGTTCCTACTTAGAATATAAAACTGCTTTCAGACTTCTTTGTAGACATCGTAGTTGGCAGAACATGACTACTTAACGTTTTCCACAGCGTGGATGGAAGTGGAGGTGATTATGTTAAGTGGAGTAAGCCAGAAGGAGAAAGACAAACACCAGATGACTGCACTCATATGCGGAATATAGAGAAACAAAACAAAGAGTGAGAAAAAAACAAAACAATCTCTAGAAATCTAACTGCAGAATTGAGGCTTCCAGAAGAGGTGGGGGATAGTGACCAAAGGCAGTGGGGGGCCCAGTAAGCTATAGTGGAGGATTAGGGGTGCTTTGGTGCTGGGTGTGGGGTGGTAAACATCTGAAGATGTGTGAGCCTATTCCCCTAAATCATATCCAATATTGTAAAGCCAAGTTTTCTCAATAAAAGAAATACAGGGCCCTCCCTGGTGGCTCAAGGAATTAAGTTGCAGCACTGTGAAGCTGTCTGCAGCCTCTGCAGCACAAGTTCAATCCCAGGCCAGGGAGCTACCCACATGGCACAGCAGACCTCTCCTGACTCACCTGCTGCTCCCCTCAGCAGTGTATTTCAGTCAGTCTGCCTGTTCTGTTCCCCGTTCTGTCTTTGGTGAATCCTCTCACCCCCCACACCCCTGGCCTGTACCCCAGCTCTTGTATTCATAAATAAATAAATCTTTTTAAAAAAATAATATAAAAAAACTACCACTAAAGATATCTTTAAGTTATTTAGTGTTAGGTGCTGTTTTAAGCACTTTATGTCTATCATTTCTTAACTCTGGAAATCTCTCTATAGCTCCTGACATCCATTTTATAAGTGAAAGAACTGAGGTTCAGAAAAAGAATTCTCTAGCACACACGACCTTGAGAGAGTGTATAGATAGTAACACCATTATTTAACATTTCAATATTGAAGATGCTCAGGGAGTAGGGATGCCGAAGCAGAAAGAGAGAAACGAGGAAGGGTGGGCCGTGAGCAGGGGAACTCAGGTCTGTCAGTCAAGGTCGCCATCTCTGTGGGCATGGTTGGTGGAATGGGAGAGGTCACTGGTCACGGCTGAGCTTAACACATAATCACAATGACAGTCTGGAACGTTGCAAGAACTACTGACATGTGCCTCAGAGACATGAGGTGGACTTGTTTGATGCCAGGTTACTACAAACTATAAAAAGAGAAATACCAGTGCAGCAGTCAAGCTAAGTGTGTTAAGTGAGGTATGCCTGCAATCTGAAGGCCTCTACCCCTGACTTTCAAATGCTCTTTTCATTCATTTATAACGAACTTCATATTGGTAGTTTCTTCTTCCTGTCCTCTTTTTCCTTCGGTATTCTTGTTGTTAGTTTATGGAAAAGCTCTCTTTTATGTATTCTGCCTTCACCCTCCATCAGAACACTTCCTGACAGCTGGGTCCTGTCATCTGGAAGCCACTCCATTCCCACCACCCAGGGCCTGGGCCAGAGAGATCTCCCTGGGGGCACAAGAGCCAGCAGCTCCCTGTTGCTGCCAGTATGACTGAAATCATGAGCTTTGACATACAATTTTGTATGCTGATGTCTATACTCAAATAGTTCATTAAATATTTTCCTTTGGGGCGCACACTAAAATATCCGGGTGGGTCAATGACATTCATTTCCTGTTATTCTGGGGATTTTCAGTATAAGGTCCCTTTAGATCTTCTGTGGATACTCCATTCAGGTTTTTTGTTTGTTTGTTTGTTTTGCTTGCAATTTTACTTAGTTAAGCTTACACTTCACACTATTGTTAGACAGTCAGCTTGTGGGTGATGATGGGGGTGTTTATTCCTTTTCCACTCGCTGAGTGGAGTTGCAACGGTTTCTATGGGAGCTTTGCATGACCCTAGTGAATGAGGGAGTGGTCAGATGGTTTCATTCTGGTGAGTTCACTTGGGATCCAGAGAGGGTATTGTGGTCTTGGTTTTGATAAAACTTCAGAACCAATAGGAATCTTGTTTGAGTTCATGTGAAGTGGCCTTAATGCTGGAAATAATCGTGTTGGCCGGGACCCCAGAGCTACACAGATGAGAAAAGGATGCAGGAACTTCTGTTGTTTACACATGTGTCTGTAATTCAGAGCCGCTACAGCAGCCCAGCGAGTCCAGAGGGTAAGATGCTTAATAATATTGTGGTTTTCTATTTAATTTTTATATATTTTCCTATTTTCCTGCATGTGTTGTTCTCAGACCAAAGAAAAGGAGAGCCGCTTATGTGATGCAGAATAAAACCAGTGGAAGTCCGGGGAAGGGGCTTGGAGTCTCTCCTTAAAGTGAACTTGACTACCTCCCTCCCTCTTCCCCTTACGCTGCTGGTATTATTTACCCTGACAGCTTGTCAAACGTGGACTACCCACAAATGTAACTATATACTAAACAAAACTCAGGTAAGAACTTCAGCTCTAAATGTAGGCAGTAATATGATATGTTGATATTAAAACTTCCTAGTTCCAAACAAATATGAATGTGTCAATGTGTGGAAATAATCTATATTCTTAAAAGTGAAAAAAAGTGATTTTTTTATGCAAACCCTCATATTCATGCTTCAGATGCAAACCCTCATATTCATGTCACTTACAGCTATTTGCATTTTGCTTGTGCTCTTGGAGAAGTTCTGTCATTGTTAACAATAAAGTATACTTCAAACTTAGCACTATAAGTTACCTGGATGGTGTGGAGGACATAAGGACATAGAATAAAACAACAAATTCCTGTACATCCCAAAAAGGAAATAGGTGTTTATCAACGTAGAAAGTGTTTATAGAAGTTACCAAAGAAAAACATATATCTTTAGAAACTGTTGGGAAGCATTTGCTTATGTCTCCTGCAAAGACTAATTATAAGATGAATGTTGACTAAGTTGATTAATTAGAAAATAAGGAAGATATTCTTAAAAACATAATTAGAAATATGTCAGTAACATATGGCATTAAAATATCACATAATGATATTCCCAGATATTCTCATTTACATCAAATCTGGTTTTCTATTTTCTATAATTGTATGGATACATTTTTGTTAATAGTCTTGTAAGATAATGTATCATGACAACTTTTGATATTTAATGTTTTAGTATTAATTAATTATTAAATAGCCTTGCATATACATTAAATATTCCTGTATTTTCCATATTTTTTATATAAGCATTAAGTTAAAAGGAGTCTTGAAAAGCAAGTGATGCAATGATTGTATCAGGTTTAAGTGACTACCATGTTGACTCAAAATATCAGAAAAATGCTTTATGTGAATTACTTCCCACCGAAAAACTTGAAAAAATAGTGTTTCTTATAATCATTTGATGGTCTCCCTTTGCATTCTTCATCTGTTTTCACTGGATTCAGTAATTGCTCCATCGCTGGCACAGAGCTTCTTGGGCCCTCACTATGGGTGTGGCCTTGGAATTCATGAGCATTTCATCTAATTACTAGAACCATAAACCTAATGACAGTGATTCTTCCAAATTGGAAACTGATCTCAGCCACTTCTGTTTGAAGAAGTATCACATCTTCTATGCAGATATTACAATTCAATTTGGCCATAATGCCAAACCCTTCAACATTTCATTTGTTAGTAAGATTTTAATTTTATTTATTTATTTTTAAAGATTTATTTATTTATTTATTTATACAAACACTGGGTACAGTCAGAAGTGCAGTAGGGTGAGAGGATTCACCAGAGCCAGAGCGGGGAACAGAACAGGCAGACGGACCGAAGTACACTGCTGAGGGGAGCAGCGGGCATGGCAGGAGAGGTCTGTGCTCCCTTTTGGACCCTCGCCTGGGGCCGGGGATCGAACCGGCGCTGCAGAGGTTGCGGGCAGCTTCGCAGCCCAGCGCTCAACCGCTGTGCCACCGGGGAGGCCCTGGCAAGATTTTAGAGAAACTTAAAAGCTCAAGATCCAAAACTGAGTCTTGAAAAATCAATGGAATTTGGGTAGTTGCTAAAAAGCAAAAAGTCCTATTTTATTTTGTAGAGTATTAGGAGCAAAGAGTGTTGAAGCATGAATTAATATAAAGCAGGAAGGATGGGAAGGAGTAATCAGCCTCATTAGAGCAGAAAAAAGTGCTTCTTTGAGAATAGCAGATGCTGTGCTGAGTGTTAGAGCTGAACAAAGTTGTGCAGCATCTGAACATTCAGGGCAGTTTTGTCCTTACATTTAATGCAGTGGATGCAAAGCTAGTTTCCGAGGAGATGTGATATTTTTTGCTGTTCTGCTCCTGCTCCTCCTTCATCTTCATCATTATCATCACACTGGCACACATAATAGCATTTCCTATATGCAAATGATTTACAGACAGATCTACAGTTTTGGAAGCTGTGCAATAAGGTGAACTTTATTTTACTCATTATTTCCATTTTACATCCGAAGGCATTTGATTTATCGAAAACCACTGATATCATAAATGGTGGGTCATGATGGCAAACTGGCTCTGCCTCCCAAGCTATTTCTGCTATGCTGTGTTGGTATCTTAGCAATGTGAAGCTGCCAGAGGCTGCCGAATGGTTTGAGATGGTTGTTGGGGTAACAGAGTGCAGGAAGGAGGTGATAGGACAAAACCCCACCAAAGATCAATTCAGTGTCTGTAAATGCAAGCCATCACAGCTCCCCCAGATGCCCACTCTACTGGAGGATGGAATGGGGGAGACAGATACTGCAAAAAAGTCATTCTTACATTTAAATTGGCAGTTGTCATGTTCAACTCTTAGGCCTGCTTCTCACATTTGTTTTTATTGAATAACCCTGGGTTATTCCACCACATAGGTTTCAGACATACAACATCATAATTGGATGTTTATACCGATTCTAAAATGATCTCTACAAATACCAACTTCCATCTTCCCCCACATATCTGACCCTTTTTAAGCCTTGCATTCAGAAATGATATCTTTCTATTTCTGAGAAAATTTCATTGTTGATTTTCATTGAATATGACTTCTTCACAAATGGAATAGCTGAGGTGCCTGGAAACCATGCTGGGAGCACATGGATGAGCTTTTGTTTCTCTCTGATGAATGAATGCTTAGTTATTGTGCTTCCTTTTTAAAAATATTTATTTATTTATGTATGCATGAACTGGGGTATAGGCTAGAGGGGCTGGGGGTTGGTGAGAGGACTCACCAGAGACAGACTTGGGAGCAGAACAAGTGGTTCTACTGAAATACACAGCTGAGGGGAGCAGCAGGGAGGCAGGAGAGGTCTGCTGTGCCATGTGGGTCAGCTCCCTGGCTGGGGATTGAACTCATGCCAATGGGGACACCTCCATAGTGCTGAGACTTAACCCCTCGTGCCACCAGGGAGACCCTATGTTATTGTACTTTCCTAAAATGATGGTGAGACTAAATTATTATCATAAGTATCATAGCAGTCTCATTTCAATGGGTTAAGGATAGATACAACATTTATGTGGCTGATAGACAATACAGCCATAAAAGCTCTCCAATAGATAGTACATCCATAGTAAAACCAATAGAATCTATTTATCAACACCTTCCCTATCATATGTCCAAGATGTAAACATTTTTTATATTTTACCTGAATCACATAAGATCAGAATCTGGAATAGCACTTACTTCTTCTTCTGTGGTTTCAATGAAATGAAATAATCTCATGTTTAGGACTTCTATTACATACATTACGGTATTTATAGTACCATCTTAGCAACACATTGTCTACCATTTCAGAAACTTGCTTTCATTTAAGTAGACTTTAGTGAGTGACAACTTTTTGCCACACACCCAAATAGATGAAGAGACATGTCAAAATTCCTCCTTTTAAAAGTATCATTACTGGGGCCTCCCTGGTGGCGCAGCGGTTGAGCGCTGGGTTGTGAAGCTGCCAGCAGCCTCTGCAGCGCCGGTTCGATCCCCGGCTGCTCCCCGGCCCCCACATGGCGCACAGACCTCTCCTGCCGCCCGCTGCTCCCCTCAGCAGTGTACTTCGGTCCTTCTGCCTGCTCTGCTCCCCGCTCTGGTGAATTCTCTCACCCTCCCGTGCTTCTGACTGTGCCCAGTGCATGTATAAACAAAAAACGAATAAACAGACAAATAAATAAATAAAACATGCCTCTATTAAAAAAATAAAAAAATAAAATTATCATTACTAAATAAGCATGTTTGCCATTTTGAATATTTTGATCCCTGATGACATTTTATTTTAATTAAATAGGTCTAGGCTGTAGCCTTACCTTCTTGCTATTTTTTTATTTTGGTAGTCTAATAGACCGCCCTAGAAAACAGTTTTCAGACAGGAGTGAGATCTAGGCATAGACTTTTTCACATCTAACAAACTAAACCCATAACTCTTTAAGATGTTATTTTTTTGCCAAATTTCAGGTAAAATAAAATGAAATAGTATTTATCAATATTGTTCAGGAGCCACAAATCAATAATGTTATTGGGCTTTATTTGTAGTACCACTGCTATTTAAGCAATGACATATATTTTATAATTTTATAATTATTTTTGTTGAAAAGCTCATGCTGTTTAAAGAACTCCAAATATATTTTAATGGGGTTTCTGAAAGCTTAGGGGAGAGTGTTGAACAGATAAAGTCAGCCTTGCAGATGGTGTCTATTTTTTTTTTTTTTTTTTGGTGGAACAACTGCACTGTAACCTCAACTTCCTTGTGTGACTGGGGTGCAGAGGGCGCAGCACCCATTAATATTTGAGAGGCTGACGCGACTACTTTGGCGTGTTGTTCCACTGTGGATAGAACACATTTTTTCAAACATGTATTTGTAAATAATATTATTAGTTTTGCAAATTTCTCTAAAAAAGAAAACTCCTGAAATTGTTCAGTTGCTGTAGAGTGGGCTCATCCAATAGATATCTGATTCAAGAAACATTTACAATTCAGGGTTACATATAAAAAGTTTAAAAAAGAACATGAAAATATTTTAGTAACAGACTTAACTTAACTCAAGATATTAAAATAATATTCCAAAATGTAACCAACATGAAATTATGGAGATATTTTACATATTTTCAGTTTCCACATTTTGCCTCCTTTATTTATTTATTTCCATTTTATGTTTCTTGAGGTCAAGTGGGTTTACATCTTTGAATATGCTCTGCAGGTGATAGGTTCAAGCCTCTACGAATGTGTATTTCCA